CAGGTCGTCTTGGCTGGCCCTGCCCTGGCACTATAAAATGGAGGCTGGGCAGCAAGAAACGCCAAGTGCATTTAGCCCAGCTGGGCATTGTCGGGGTGAGACTGGGCCCTGTCAGAAAACTCTAAACAAACTGCAAACAAAAGATACCGGTGCAGATGATGCTTTGTGAAACTTTGATCGTTCTGTTTCATGAGCTTACAGTCACAGCAAAGAAAAGAAAGACAAAGAATTTTTTCACTGTTATATTTTTAGGTAGGTACAGCCTACTATCTCCTCATAAGGGTGGCTTTCCAAGGGAAGATAAAATGCCAGTCCAGTTGAGTCAAGCATCTTTAACTACAGGCCTTATTTTTTGAATGATTTGTACTAGAACAAGGATCTTCATATATATTAAAAAGCCACCCCCAAGATGTCACCCATCTGTCACCATTCAGACTTAGAAGTTTAACATGAAAATTTTCCAAATTAATTCTTATTCTGATACTGCACAAGTTCTTGTTTTTAAGAAGCAAAAAAGTACCGTGACACTTGCATAAAATTTACGTAAGCTGTATTGCAGAATCATTTAGTGGCATTCTTTATACTTTTTGATGTAGTTACATCCTCCGTGCAGAGTGCTGAGTGAATTCTAATGCCAGCTTTTGTTATGGCTAGGTCTCTCAGGCGGCAGCGGACTTGAAGCAGTTCTGCCTGCAGAACGCACAACATGATCCCCTACTCACAGGAGTATCATCAAGTACAAATCCATTCAGACCCCAGAAAGTTTGTTCATTTTTGTAATTATGTGAGCTACTTCGGTATCTTTCAGTGGTAAGTTCTTGAATTACAATTTGTAAACTGTTCTGTCATTAAATTGTCAGTTGTTATGGCTTTAAATGAGACTGCCTGTATTTAAAGTATTCAGAAGAAATACCTGATTTTTGCAGATGGTGTTACTCTAGATCCTCATTTTGGGCTCCCACCTTCACTATTCTGGTCATAGTCTTGTACTGGACACGTTATTGCAAAGTGTTATGAGCAGCTTTTACTTGCTGCAGAGCTTCCACCAGTTTTTGTTGCTGCAGCAAAGTAGTAGCAGGGCCAGCTAATCCTGCGCTGCTGTTTGGACTAACCTGGTTGTACTGTAGTTCTGTTGCATCATCCTTTTGTGTTAAGGGCATTATTTCTCACTTAGGATTGATTATCTGCCTGACAGCACACATGCTGAATCTTGATTGTGGCAGATAGAGCAGACTTTAGTTCTTAAACTTCTGACGAGCACTTCCAAGGATAGGTTAATGGTGGTCTCCAACAGCACTGTCCTTTGTAGGACATGCCCTCTAAGCAAAAAGAAAAAAGTATGTACTCCAAGAGTTCTATCAAGCCACACACTCCACTTAAACTGTTACATGAGTGGCAGTTTAAATAATTAGGAACAGTTGGAAACTCATGTAGATTTTCATTGCAAAAGTTATATAGGTTCATTAGCACTGCTGCTAGCTCTATGAAGACTACTAATCTGGCATTTCTTGAAAATTCTGATTAGATTTTAGGCTAACCTATTTAGAAGGGTGAGTTTTAGATCCACAGTAGTCTCACCAAGACTCTGAGCATGACAGCAGTTTGATATTTTGCCCACAGTAAATGAATTATAATTTTACCATGTCCCTCTTCCCCACTGCCCCTTCACTTGGATCCCTTGGCAGTGAGAGTGTACCTGTTACTTCCAAGCACCCTAAATGCAGCTAAACTTGGTTCGCAATCCTTAGAAGTCTCATAGCGAGTCTTAAACCTTGAAGAATTCTGGTTTCGTAGCTGATTTACATGACCCAAAGAGAACTGTAGTTTGCTAGATTTGTGTTATTTAGGCAGCTTTATAGGAACATGACCACAGTCAGACTGAGTAGTTGAAATTGTTCTCCCCTCAAGCAGACTGTAGAAAGCTTCCAAAATGTTTGAGTATAAACAAGGTGGCTCATGCTACTAAAGACCAGAGTGGTAGCAGTATAGAGGTTCATACTTAAGTATTTAACCAAAACTCTTCCCTCCTTTTTTGACCAGTGAATTAGAGCAGTATAACTGAGAAGTGCCTTACAGTTCTTAAGTCTTTTAACGTCGTTTCTGTTGTGCATTTTATCAATTCTTATTTAAAAGATAATATTCTGGGAAACTGGCTTGTGTTCACACTACTGCAGCTTCAGCTTTAAGCAGTAATTCAAGGAAGAAATCAAATTATCTCTAAGCACTGTAGACTGATAACCTATGAAAAGGCAAATAAACTGTACTTTTATCAGTGACACGTTCAGTTCCCCCCAAGCTTTGCCACAGTCCTGGGCACAGATGCCGACAAATGATCTTTCCTCTGTCAACACACACGTAGGCATATGCAGGGCATAAAAAGGCTTCATACTTTCTAAGTTACAGCACGTCCCCTTTCTGGTTTTAGAATAGAGCACTCGTTTCTGGTCATGTTACAAGCAAAAGTCATTAGAAAAGCAGTTTTAGTTACACCACCTACAAGGAAAATTTCTTTCCTGACAAGCTCTCACTCAAAATAGGCAATTTCTTTGTTGTAATCCTGGAGTTGTACAATAAGCCAGGAGAGTTCATGTTTGCATGCTCAACACCACCTCTGTGGAGTGAGGAGGAAGTGTCATACACAGACTACCTCTGCTTTTGAAAGGCAAAGTAGGTGCCTGGTACTTCTGTAGGCACCAAGTGACAAGGAAGAACTTTTCTGTCCTTCCATTTAGCGGTATGGCTTCCAGGAGACACTAAGCTTGAGTTCTTTTGTAACAGCTTTGATGACCTTCTTGTATGCTAGTTTTACAAAATAGCTGTGGAAAAGGAGGATTTTTTTTTCCCCAAAATAGCTGTCTATGGTGTTCTCTGAAAGTGCACATTCTTAGACACAGAGTGGCTTTATTTAGCACTGATACTTTTCTAACTACATTTTGGTTTTGTTTTTCAGATCTTTCAGCATCTTTTCCTAGCTGCTGATGTGTGTATGGGTAGAGTGCCTTAAGGAGCAGCCTGGTTTGAAGTCTGTACAAAAGCTTATTTAGCTTTAACGTGCCAAATCTAACTGTAAAATTGCTACTGTTGTCAAACCTCTTACCATCTACCTCTCCAAATGAACTGTATGCTAGTTACAATACTTCTGTTTCATAAGGGAATCAGTTTTATACACCGAGCAAAAAATAAAGTGTCTTGACTTAGCCTGGTCTTGAAATTACTTTATCAAGGTTCTTAACTTCTGGGTATGTTTACACCTCACCAGTTCCTGCATCACCCCACAGCAGCTGGAGAGCTCCTACAGGTGTCTGTCTGTCTTTAAACATTCATTCCATGCCGCTGCAGGTCTGTCTGCCTGGGGGTTGGGCTGATAACCTTAAAGAACACTGAGGCTTCATCTGTACTACGCTTAGAAGCACAGCACAGAACAAAAAAAGTTTGGCTGTTACTTTGTAATTCAACTATACAGCTGTCCCTATCAGACATCAAATAAAGACAAGGAGTAACTTAATTATTCTTTATCTAAAGGAGTAATTCTGCCCTCGCAGATGACTTACTCTATGAGCCATCTTACTCTTTAGGTAAATATGAAAAAGCACTCATAGCTGCATATGAAAAGAAAACTTGGCATTTTTGCTGCCTGTGTGCAAACTTCAGGCAGAAGAGTAGCTTACTCTGTGGGTGAATGCCAACTTGAGTATAGCTATGAGGCTGACAAAGCATTTTTAGGATTTTAATGGGAAGAACCCTGCTCAGAGACCTCACATGTTCAAATGAGCAGCATTTTCAGATCAGATAGCTTTATGTACTTCCTGTAAGCTTGCCTGATGAACTTTTTCCCCTATTGGTGTTTTTTTTCTTTTTTATATCCAAGAGTATCAACTGATTTTGGTATACACCTCTTCTAAATGTGACAATTACGGAAGACGTACCTGTTGGAGTAAGGCATGTTATTTTTGTAACTTCAGCAACATGGCTGTTTTATGCAAGATGATGATACGATAAACATACTTGAATTAACAGACTTCCTGGATTGCACAGAGCCTGCTCAATGTTCTCTAGACAGGAAACCATTTTTTTTTAAACATGCCGCCATACCTTAACAGCTTACTGTTAAGTTGGAAAGAGGTCTAAAATATTTGTCTCTTACCTGATTAAACCAAAGATGTCTGGACTCAGCTGCTTAACAGAAAAAAAAAAAAAAGCTGTACAGCTAGAAATATTTTATTATGAGAATATCTTTAACCAAAATATTTACTGTCTTTGATGTTGCAAAGTGTAACTTGACTCTACAGCACAGCAGCAGCCATGGGAAATCTTCAGTGATAGATAAATTATAGGCTGCTCTGACATTGCCATAGCTTTTCCTGTTAAACTGAAAAGAGACATGCTGGATTTCCATAAAAACGTAGGAAGAAAGATGTGTCCTACTTGGTGTGCTCCTGTAGCATGTTTAATGTTTGCAGTTTGTCTTTCTGCACACAGATCCTGTTCAGTGTCACCATTAGTTAAGAGTCCGAGATAATCCATAGTTCAAAGCACTTGTATTTCTGGTCACCAGCAACTGGCAGATAGCTGTTCCTTACAAGTGAAATTTTCTTCTGCTTGTGTCCATTTCTCGGCGCTGAAATTTAAAAGAGGAGTTATTAACCAGCAGTCATGCAAAAGGATACAAACAAGGATGACCTCCCAAAAGGAGGTTGCAGTGAGGTGGTAATACTTCATTTCACTTGAAGATGTGCAGAGTCAGTGTTACTTTCTACTCACTGTTCAGAAGTGACATTTAGGTAAACAGCTTGGACATTTTTACATTATGATTCTTGCTCTCACTTTGCACAAAAATAGCCCTAGTCAAGTTTACTAGGCTTCCAGTAACAGCTTATGCCAGGGGAGCATTTTTCACATTTGCTTCTATATGTGTATGTTAAAGAAGTTACATACTGCACGTAAGTAGTCACGGTATACTGATATTCACCATCCTTGCTATTTTTATTTTTGACTTGCAATATAGCAGAATGCTTCTACTTTGCATATTTCTCAAAATATTCCTCTAAATAATCCAGTTAAACACTTCTGTATTAAGAACTGCATTTATACTGCTTTTTTAGTCTAAGATTTCTGGTTAGGTTTCATGTCAAATTTAGTCTCCCTTCCCAAGCAGGACTATCATCATTAGTTAGACATACCTTATGAATCCATTCATATTCTCCAAATTTGGAATCAAAGGTTCCTTTTTGAAGAGACCTCAGCTTTAATGTAAAACGTGGCCCAAGTTCTTGAATTCCCACTTTCTTTTCACTCTTGAAGATGTATCTTGGGGAAGAAAAAAATTTAATTTAGGAAGTAAGTTGCGAGAACATTCATTCTCACTTGTGGGTTTTGTGGCAAACATCACCTGTGGAATCTGAAGAAGATGTAGTCTCGCTGGTTGTGGAACGTAGCTACTTGTCTTCCAATGAACTGGGGATCGTGCGGGAAGAGGGAAGCGAACATGCGGCCCACGGAATGGCCCAGCCGCGTTGTGAAGTTGTTCAGGATGACTTCAGGTACGTGCTCTGTGGGCTCCTTCCCTTTTCGCTGAAAGTAACAGACAAAGAACAGATCGAAGGCAAAAGGATTTTAATCTGTTATCCAAAGAGGTTGAAATAAAATAGCAGGGAGACAACCAGGGCCAAATTTTTGGAACAGGGCTGATAACATGCTCTCATTGTTTTTTCAAACACAACCTAAGTTTGTATGCAAGTAAAGGAGAAGCAGGTAGCATAAATTTGGTTCAACACTATAAATTGAATGAAAAAGCACAAATAATTTTACATTTCCTCTCTCCGGCACCAGTTTCCACTCCTGGCAGCACCCATTACAGCAAATAATGCAGTCCACCTACCACAGGAGTCCTCTCTGTATTAGTATCAACTAAGAGCACAGATGAAGTTTAAAAATTACTCATTTAAAAAAAAAAAATTACTGCAAATTATTTAGGGCTAGGTAAGCAATGCTTACTACAAAAGAAGTAACAGGGGTATAAGAATAAGGAAAACTAGATTTTATACAAGACTGGGAACTACATCTATTGATATCTTTTATACTGCTGATTTTTTATACCCTATTGTATGTATACTATACATTGATTATTCTCTATTGATGTAGGTTATCAGCTCCTATGTATTGGCATGACTATAAAAATACCTGGCAGACAGTGCAAGAAATTCAGCAAATAAGTATGAAAAGGGAAATATGCTGTTTATGGGAGTAGAATATACTGGTCCTTGGCCTCCTGCTAGCTTGTGAAAAAATTAGCTGAATTGTATAAAAGTGCAACCAGTTTTGACAATTCAAGTAGACTGAATTTATTTATCATTAAACAACAAACTACTCAATTTCAAACTTTTAAAAATTTTGTTGGAATCTCACCTTTATTTCTTTACGTAAACGGACACTACTCATTCTAAAATGAGCAGTTGGACCATCAGGCAGATGACATAAGAGAAGACCATCTGTTCACCGAGTTAAAAAAAAAAATAGGCTGGTAGAATTCAACATGTAATTTACAGAGGAACATTTTCTGTGAAATGCAATAATACATTAGAGTGTAAAATTCATGACCTATGCTGGATTTACAAGTTTTCATTATATTTTTGAATGTACATTCGTAGACTAGTTACCTAGTGTTGTGAAGTACATCCATTCAGTTTTGTTTCAATAGTTCACCAGAGTATTCTTCTATCACTTTCTCACTTAATTAGTAATATTTTATCTAGTCAGCAAAACTAAAAACAACTTCCTGGTCAGAAAATCTTGTTAGTTCATCAAACTGTTAAATTTACTGAAATAATAACATACATATGTAAATATACATTACAAACCATAAAAAAAAAAAAAAGCCCACCCACTTTCTTTAATATTTTCGAGTTCCATCAGCCATCACATATCCAAGTTGGCATGGTGATTTTTAACTCTGTGGTTACACTGTACCCTGCACAGTCGAGGGGAAAAAAAGTCCAGAATAAAGCAAATCTCTGATGCATGCTACAGAATTTTTTCTTTCCCCACCAGGCCCAGAGCTAGTGTCTCTATTTTAATAAGTACAGAAAAGGATACTTGGTATTTTGCGATCTTCATTAATGACAATTAAATCTGTGAAGTCCTTTGCAACACACTGTGGAATGATCTTTTTCAAAGCCAGTCCTCGTCGATAGTAGACATGTGAGTTAGGTATAACAGTAGACAGCTGTTCACAGAATCTCACTGTTCTCTGCAAAACAGATGAATTGCAGTGTGGTAAATACAGCACCAAGTTCACGTAATGGGAGCAGAGGGTTCCTCCGTTCAACTGCCCTCCCTGATGATTTATTACTTCCAGTATCTCTATCAATGTTTGAAGACAAGATACTGAATTACTTCAGTCAGTCAGTGGAAAAAAAAAATTATTTTGGAGTAAAGACTGCAGTACACCAGGGACTTTGTTTTAAAAAGGATTTTTTTTTTCCTACCTCAATTATAGTAAAACAGGAACATCCCATCTCATTATTTTTTAGGGACATTGGTTTACAAAAAGTCCATAACTTTTCAAAATACGTAACTATTGCTTCAGGTACTGATAGCTGAGTTTCCAGATAAACTCTTTGGAGTGTGCTTTTTCCCATTTTTTAAAACCACTTCCTTTATGGTTTTCATAAATGTCAGTATCTCCCCAGTTAGGTGGTGCAGATCATTTGCATGCAAGAACATATGCATGGTTTTTGTTATGAAGAAAACAAACAGTGCTAGAGAAACTAACATTATATCCATAAACAAGGTTATTCATAGTCACTAAATAAAACAGTAGGAAAAAAAAAAATTCATGTGAAAGGTTATTATTTTCAACTGTATCAACCGTAATATGAAAACCTTTGTTATCTTACAACCAGTGGACTGCTTAGAAATCTCCAAGTAAAACATACACACCCCACGAGGTCTGTCTGATGTTGTGATAAGAATCTTGGGAACTGTCTGTCTGTTGAAGTAGGGTGCAAATTCATCAGTTGCTTCATCAAAAGCAACCTGAAAGAACAGAAGTCTTGTTAATCCACCAGATAGGAAATAACTGAAGAACAATTGTTCCGTCTCTGATCTAAATTTTGATGAAATTTAATTTAGTAGGAAAAATTTAAATTCACAAAATCTTATAATGAATCATCAGAAAGCACATGGTTTTTACATTCTTAAGAATCTAGTGTGCTGAACACTTGCAAGTCTTACTGTCAGTAAGAGTAATGCAAAAGGCAATTATCTGATGCAGATAATGAAAGAATGTCATCACCTCTTAGTGAACCCATCACCTGTAAAAAGCGATTGATCAACACACAGTTGTGAGTGGTGAATGGGAGTGGTAACACAGGAGTGGTGAATGGTAAGCTTCATCACTCCATTTTATGTCCCTTCTCAGAAAAAAAATGGTGAACTTAATGGTATATCCAGAAATAAAGCAGTTACCTCTTCATCGTTGGGATCTACAGTTGTTTCATCATATACTCTCTGATTTTCTATAGTCTTTGGTATGGCTTTTGGTGGTGCCTAAAATAAATATGTTTATTAACGTAACACATTGATGCAATTTTTCAGTGTACTGCAAAAAACACATTCATACTACCACAACATTGTGTACCTTGCCACACAGAAGTATTATTTATTTTATGCCAGCTTTTAAAAAACAAGTTACAACATCACCTTGATTAAAAACATGCACTATTATTGTAACACCAAAGATCATCATATGGACAAGCATTGCTAGAACAGTGACATGGCTCAGTTACAGTGTAACTAAGAAACAGGGGTTCCAAAACAAAGCAAAAAAAAACAAAAAAAAAGAGGGGTGGAGGGGATATGGGACATTTCTATCCACTTTTCTTCCATGGAAAACAAAAGCTCTGCTTGCAGCAGCAACAGATTTGAGCCTTGGCATGTAAGATTTAATGACTAATAGTGTGTGATGTTTACTACCCTTGTGAGATGACGATACTACAGGAACTCACAACTGACTGCCTTCAGCTGTCAATAGGCTTTTGACGTAGTTCAGGAAAAAAAGAAAAACTCTTGTTCGTGGCTAGGCTTGGAAACAAGCAGACAACTGGTCCAGGTAGGGTTTGATCAGAACTGATTGTTTTAATTCATAGAGAAATTACTAGAGTATAATTGCTAGCAACATCAACGCAATGCCATAGCACCCACATCAGCCAGAGAAGACATCTCAGGAAGAGACTGCTTTTATGCCACCATTAGCTTAAATCTCACCCTGCCTGATCAGAGCACCGTTGAAGACACCACCAGCAAGGTTTCTAAGCCCAGCTGCTGCGTACACAGTGCCCCGGGGGCCACCCGGCTAGCGAGCACCGAGGTCACTGCTCCGCCCCGCAGAGGTCTGGAGAAACCATTTCACCCTCCACACTGAAGAGCCCCCAGCACCAGGCCGGGCAGAAGCCGGAGCCCTCACCTTGTCTCCGAGGGCTTCTCGCTCCTTCCTCCGCTTCTTCTTGGCGGCCAGCTTCTCCTAACCGGAGAGAGAGAGCGACCCGTTAGCCAGACCCGCCGCCCG